TTTTTTCAAAAATGTATTGATGGTATTATTTCTTTTTAAATATATTGATGGTATTTTATTTTATTTTTTTCCAAAAATGTATTGATGGTAGTTTTCTTTTTTTTCTTTTCAAAAATGTATTGATAGTATTTTTTTGTTTCAAAAATGTATTAATGGTATTTTTCTTGAAAAAACAATGTATTGATGATATTTTTTTGTATTTCAAAAATGCATTGATGGTATTTTTTTGAAAAATGCATTGATGGTATTATTTTTTTTTCAAAAAATGTATTACTGGACACTTTTTTCTTTAAAAATGTATTGATAGTATTATTTTTTCAAAAATGTATTGGTTGTGTTTCTAAATGTATTGATGGTATTATTTATTTTACTTTTTTTTACAAAAATATATTGCTGGTAATGAAAAATGTCTTGCCTGTATTTCTACTATAAAAATATATTATTATACTTTCATAATGTTTTGACCCCGGTTTGTCGGATGGTTAACAATTTGCCCATAGTTGGGACCCTAACAGGTACTACCACAACGGAAACAACGACAATTAAGAGGTGTTTCCACCTTCCTCAAAACCTCCGATCAGAAACCGTGCTACTGGATGTAGTTTATCGTCAAACCCAGAACACACGGTGCTAATGTAACGTCTTGCGGTGGTGGACACTATTAACTTATAGATAGGAAAAGTGAAAGTGTGCGTGTGTTTTTTTTTTTTCTTTTCTTTTTTTTTTTTTTTTTTTTTTGTTTTTGGTGGGGGTGGTTCTTTTTTCTTTCTTTTTCTAGATTTCTCGTCTCAAACCTCTCAAAAGTTCGTCGAATTTCTAATTATACCAGAGTTTTTTTGTTTTTTTTTTTCTGTAGTGTTTATGAAAGTTTTCAAGTACTCCCGTTATTAGTAAAGCTGTAAATGTTTGAACTTGTAGAAATAAACATTAGAGTTCATCTGTTCATTTGCCATAGAAGTAGCGGTAGACGTGCAACTTTTGTGTGAAAAGAGGCTGTAGAATGTAGAAAGTAAGTCATCCCCTATAAGACCGTGCAAACGATTTTGAACTCTATCAAGGTTGAAAAGTCAAGATTGGGCAGCCCAGGCCCAGACGAAAGAGCAATACTCTATATTTAGTCAAACTCTCGTAAATTTGGTTTGACTCTCGTAAATACAATGCACTTCTGCGATCAATTTTCAAGCATCTTTAACGACGGATCGAATATATGAGTTCTACTTGAGGTCTGAGGAGAGCTTGAGTCCCAACGGATTTTCAAGTCAAAGAGCCTCCTTGATAGGTGAAGGTTCGTGGTTTGCTTGATACAATGAACCAACCATTTTACCGGCATCTTTAGCAACGGATCGGATATATGAGTTCCACTTGAGGTCTGAGGAGAGCTTGAATCCCAATATACGTTCAAGGTACAGTGCCTGTTTGAGAGAACAACCATCCAGCATGGTAAGTGAAGGGTTGGGGTCTGCTCGGTAGTGGTTATGGTGGTAGTGGGGAAACGTTACTAGTCTGTTTTTGGCCATATTGAATTTTATAAACCAGACTGAATTGAGCTACTTGAGCTCGGCCAGAGGAGAGATGAGCTGCTAGGTTCTGGACATCATGGGATCAATTTTCAAGCATCTTTAGCTATGGATCGGATATATGAGTTCCACTTGATGTCTGGGATGAACTTGAGTCTAAATAGATGTTTAAATCAAGGTCAGTGCAACTGTTCATTGTGTTAAAAAGAAAGCCCAAGCTTCGATCGGCGATGATGGAATTATACGATATTGGTTTTTGCTGTATTGAAAGTTACTAGCCAGTTTTCTCCCATTGATCTGTTTTAGCTTGATCATTAGAAAGACCAGCTGTAAGGCTTTGAAGAACTTGATTTCAGTAGGTACTTCTTTAAACTTTGGTCTTATCAGAATATGTGTATGCCAATGATCTGGGAATGTTAGAACTTTTTAATGAAAATTAGAGTAGGGCCGAGGAGAATGTCTTGGGGTGCCTGTATTCATTTCAGAAGACTAACCATTTGAAACGACTTTCACGGACCTACCTGAGAAAGGACTCTACCAGTTGCTATTACTGAAGAGTTTGTCTAGCAACCGACTAAGCCACACCTTGTCATAAGCCTTTGAGATATCTAAGCCAATGGTTCCCGTCATGCTACTACCATCGAATAGTTCACAGATTCGGTGCATAATGATACCTAGCGTAAGGGGACACACACACATATACATATATATATATTTAAGCGTTACGCCCCGAGCAAGGCATGAAGCCACTAGAATGCAGGGGGTTGCAGAAGATTTGGACCAAGAGCTGATAGGAGTGATAGAAGAAAGGATGAGGAGAGGGATAGTGAGTAGATCAAGGTAACTGGAGGTGTCGATTGACATTACATTTGAATAGTTGGAGATTATAGCTCTCAGGGAAACAGTAATTGGGAAGGGTGTTCCACGGGCGAGAGATATATAAAACAGGTTTCAGAAGATGGCGAATGATGTTGCATTCATATTTTTTTAAGATTTTACGCTGCAGGAAATCAAGAAATTTGAAGAGAGACCCACAGGCGAGAAGCGTGAGAAAATAAACTATCAAAATAGAAGTTACTGTTATATCTAACTTTTTCAACTGTAAAGCGATGAAATATCTTTGCCAATCTACCAGTACAGGGTCTTTGGTATGACGATAAACTACATCCGACAGCAAGGTTTTCAGGAGCGTGGAACGACCTCTTAACTGCTGTTCCCAGGTCCACTCTGACCCGAGGTAGTATCACCAGTTAGAGTCACAGCCATGGGCAAATACTTGAGCCCGCTCCCCAAATTGGGATCAAAACACTATGAAGGTATAAAATAGATTTATATAATAAAAGTATTACTAGCAATACTATTTATGAACAAAAATATTACAACAATATATTTGACTCTCGGCAAACTCGCTCTTTACAAAAATATATCAATGAGACCTGCTCTAAAAATTGATCTCTTACAAAGAATATATATTCTATTCATACAAACCTATCCTAAAAATCTTGTCGGCATTAAATAATCCATTGCGGTTGAGATGCCCTAAAATAAAGTCAAACAAAACAAACAAGTACAGAATGCGATGGGTAAATTGTTGCCATGTTATATTTTTAATTTCGTGCATGGGCGTTGTTATTTTTTTTATTTTTTTATTATGTCGACAGCACAGTATAGTAGGGTCAGTTGGCCACCGTCTGTGAGCAAAAAAAAAAAAAAAAGTACCATGATGCAATTCACTCCGCTAGAAATTTGGAAACCGCTTCCTATACTGCTTGGCATACACGCCTAAAGCTCCAATACGAACATTTCAGAGCGCTTGGGCGTCAGTCTGAGGACACGGAAAGAGTTGAATGAGTCTAATGGTGATTACGAAAGTGTTTAGAGTAGCACATCAGGATATATGACTGTTCCGTTTAGTATACAGGTTCGATTCCTGTCGGAAAACACGCAATTTCTATGAAATTTCTCGTACATTCAGACAGGTAAATGTAGTTACTACTGTTTATTATAAACAGAGCATTTACTTAAACATTTGTACCTATAAAAATAACGTATAAACAGAAAATATATTAGAAAAGACAGAATGAAGCCACGTCACAGCGGTGCAAAAGTGACTGTAGCCAAGATGCTAGGTGAGGACCGATAACATTACAGACCCTTCTTTGGAAATTGTCTAGAGTTTCGAGGTATATAGTCGGAGAACCAGACCAGATATGGCAGTAACATTCAACGCATGGAAGAAGGGTAAACTTATAAATGTGCAAGAAAAATTATGAACCAACTTTTCTAGCAACAGACCTAGTAATTGATTCAATATAATCACTCCACATTTTGACAGTGGATAACGTGAGACAAAGAAGACGGAAAGAGTTGCTCTCCTGAAGTTTAGCATCACCCATATTGATAGAGAGCAAAATTGTTTTATATAACGACGAAAGGATAGCAGTTTCGTTTTGGAGGCGTTAAAATTTACAAGACATTTCTTGATCAAGTTAATAACTAACATAATGTTATGATTATTACAGAATGAAAGTTATATGATTATTACATGATTATTATATAATATAGTAAGATTTTGATATAACTTACCTTTATAATATGTATAACCAATATATATATATATATATATATTTATTATCTAAATAATATTATATGGTTAATATTATATAATTACCGTATTCAGCTTACTCTCGGAAAAGGCAAACTCCTACCTTTTGTCATGTATATCTGAGCTTTAATATAATTTATTCTTCTACACTTGTTCTGAGTCGCTATTAATAGGAATCCCGTTTCTCTCGTCAGTGAAATCATGTTATATCGTCATATCCTTTCATTTTGTCTATAGAAATTTCAATAAAGACGCTTTTCTTCCAAATTTTTGGTTTCTTGCTTTCAAGTTTTCTCATCTTGTATTTGTCTTCTTGTCACTTTCTGCTTGAATTTGTAATAGAATCAATCTTGAAAGCCGGCTTATATTATCTTCAATTCTTTCTCTGGCCGTGTTGACACAATCCTCTATAATGACGCGGCTTCACCTCCTTTTCTTCTCTCGTATGTCACTTCTTTCTCTGGGGTCTAATTAGTAGTGGTAACCATTCAGTCTTCACGCCAATATTATTTGAAAATCATGCGAGTGTAAAACTCTTCCAAACTTAAGCATTCTTCTCAGTATTCTCAGTATTTTTAAGAATATTGGTTCCTTCATTATTATTATTATTATTATTATTATTATTATTATTATTCCACCGTTAGTAAGTTAGTAGGTGCATTACGCCGTGTCATTGCGTCAGATAAATAATGGAACATTCCGTTTTGATTGCGAAGAGAAGCGGAAGAAAAAAAAGTATATCAGAAACACTGTTTGATTTTAATGAGAAAAAGATGCATACACAACAACAACAACAACAATTTGAAGAAGAAGAAGATAGCTAAGGCGGAAGGAAAACGATATATCAGAAACGCTGTTTTTAGTACAAAAAGAAGCATTCACGACAACAACAATAAGAAAGAAAGAAAGAAAGAAAGAAAGAAAGAAAGAAAGAAAGAAAGAAAGAAAGAAAGAAAATAAAGATAGTTAAGGCGGAAAGAAAAAGATATATTAGAAGCTTTTTTTTCAGTGTGATAATGAAGCATACATAACAAGAAGAAAGAAAGAAAGAAAGAAAGAAAGAAAGAAAGAAAGAAAGAAAGGGAAGATAGAGAAGGGGTGTATGCGTGCTCTTAAGTGTATGACGTCTGCTTTAGTGAAATGGAAAATCTTGTCAGTTTTCAATATTTTTATTATTTATTTCTTTAAATAATAGCCTGCATTCATACTTGTGATTAATATTGCAATATTTTGTTAAAGTTGTTAAATTCGGATATTTAAAGATACAATATGGGAATTTCCATGGGCATTTTATAGCCGTCGAACTTGTAAAGAGATTATTCAAATCATTAAATTAAGAATTACGATTCAGCAGAAGATTTAAAAAGGAAATCCCTGAAATTTTAGACGACTGCTTTTGATTGTTATTATTATCATTATTATTATTATTATTATTATTATTGTATTCAAATTCATCATATCAGATGTCTGGCAATTATCGCGAAACACTGTGGCCGCAAGTTGCTTCAAATCTACTGCTTCTTGTTGATTTGTGGAACAAACTCCCGACAGGATGTTTTCCCAATCACTACATTCGACCACTTCAACCTCTTTCTTAGATAACTCCATTCATTTCTTGCTTTTTCTTACGCCCATGCAATATAGTACCCCCCTGTCTTATGTGGCCTTGTATTGGGCGAACATTAGTATTTATAAAGACACAAGTCAGTCGTGGTTTGAACGATTTCAATTCTTTAAATTTTTATATTATTCACTTTCAACACCAGCCTTTTTGTCATGATTTCAAGTGCTTCACCTACTATCGGGTGGACTGTAATAATACTGTTCTTCAGTTTTTACAGTATCCGATTAAAATGCATGCAGCTTTGCCAATTGTTTTCTGCCATCAGTCTTCAACTTCAACTACAATCAGACATATTTTTTGCCTTGTTTAAGATCCTGTTTACTTGCTTGGATCGGGTGGTTGATCGGAATCTAAAGGCCTCAAAGGATCTCATTCATTTTATTTGCAAGAACATCTTCTGGATCGTATTTGTTTAAATCATTGAACCATGGTAATTTGCAAAATTATTATTATTATTATTATTATTATTATTATTATTATTATTATCTTCGATTTATGTTGTATACACATTTCCTTCCGGATCCCAACCAGAGACCTAAGGTCAGAAATGTCTTCATGACAAAAAAAAAATCATACACATTTTACATAGATAAAGGTTTTCGTAATGTGTGATCTGTATTTGTGAGTAGATTCTTTTTAATTTCTTTAAGGCAAGGACTACAAGGAATCCCTTCAATGTGTCAATCGGATCCTTTTCCAATCAATTCGATGACTCCAACTACAACTGGAATTATTGGTGTCCTTATGTGCCAATTTTTTGAGATTTCCATGTCAAGATCCTTGTATTTTGATTGTTTTTTGAAGATCTTCAAAGATACATTACAAGTTGCAGGGACTGCCATATCAGCAAGAAAGGACATTCTGCTCATGTGGTCTTTGATCACGGTGTTTGGGCAATTAGCTTTGATTGCTCTCTATCTCTCTCTATGTCTCTCTCTCTCTCTCTCTCTCCGTGTGTGTGTGTGTGTGTGTGTGTGTGTGTGTGTGTGTGTGTGTGTGTGTGTGTGTGTGTGTGTGTGTGTGTGTGTGTGTGTATTGTAAAGTCCCATAAAATTGTTACCGGTTCTATCTCTGTAACTGTGTCTGGGTGATGTTCATACTAGTTTCTTGCAGTTTCCTTCGCGTAAAAGCTGCATATATTCCCCTGCAGATATTGGCCCCTATGTCATACCGAGTTATCATTATTATTATTAATATGATTATTATTATTAATATGATTATTATTATTTACCTACCATGGTAACATTATTGACACTTTAGGTTTGTTTCAGTTTTGCATGTACAAGATTGATACATCGATTTTATTTATTTTATTTATTTATTTATTATTTTTTGGTTTCTGTCCGCTCTAAGCTCTGACCTTAAGTGCTTTGCATCAGTATTATTAATTTGTCGTTGTTTGCATGAATAGACAAGCCTGATTCTGAGGTGCAGATGGCCAATAGACTAAGTGGTAGTAATCCCAAGAGCAAGGTTTCTCATGGATAGCGATTGAGAGGGAAAAAAAACAAGATAAAAAGATAATTTATGCGGTTTGTGGTATCCTTAAATGAATGATGAGGGAAAAAATCCATCGGGCATTTGGGAGATTTAGTAAGGCTTTTTTTTTTTATTTTATTTTTCTTGTCTTTTTTTTTCTTTTTTTTCTTTTTCTTTTTTTCTTTTTCTTTTTTTGCTTTTTCTTTTTTTTCTTTTCTTTTTTTTTATCAGAATTTGATCCGGTAATGAATCACACAGAAGTCATCATAACAACTCAAACAAAGCTTATAAACATCTGACGTTTAAAAGGATGTCCCAATAATGCATTCACACTTTATCAGTCAACAAACTTGTCATGCGTTCTCCCTTTTCAGGGGAAATGCAGCTATTCAGTTGAAAAAAAAAAAACTACGACAACGGATATCTTTCCCAACAACATCTTACTTATTATAAAACGCAGATTGTGTGTGTGTGTGTGTGTGTGTGTGTGTGTGTGTGTGTGTGTGTGTGTGTGTGTGTGTGTGTGTGTGTGTGTACGTTTATATATTGGATCGGATTTCCTACATTTTTCAACCGATTTCAACAAAACTTCACAGGACTGCGTAAAATTACCTTGCGGTGGTTCTGACAGTGCCAAAAATTGGAAAAGCACAATTGTTTTTGCACGAAATCAATTTGAAAAAAAGATAAAACACGATTCTGTCGCCAGAATGGAAGGGGGACAACTCATATCGAGTTATACTTATTATAAAACCCAGGTTGTTTGTTTGTGTGTGTGTGTGTGTGTGTGTGTGTGTGTGTGTGTGTGTGTGTGTGTGTGTGTGTGTGTATGTGTTCGTTTATATATGGGATCGGATTTCCTACATTTTTCAACCGATTTCAACAAAACTACACTTTTTTTTTGGCAGGTAGTGTTTCTTATTGTCTTGCACACTTTTTTCTTTATTTTTACATTCAGAATGCTTTAAAAATTCCATTTACAAGACAATTGTTTATAATAAAATTCTATTCAATCGATAGACTCATAACGATTGAAAACAATATTTTTGTTTGAGTTTGGGTTTAACCAATTCGTAAAAAAAAAAAAAAACTAATTAAGACATGCGTGTCCGTCAACCTTAAACAATAATCTTTGTCAATTTTATTTTTCAGTCTTTATGATGGTCGATACTTGATCTATCTCTTACTGTTACATCCCTGGGCAACGCCGGCCTCTACTGCTAGTTGTCACTAAAGATTAAATGAAAACCATTTCGTAAGATTTCAGACACTGGAAATGGTGTTTCGATTTTTATATCTATACAAATAAACCTCGATAATTCGAGTTTGCTTTGAAGAATTTTTCTCAAATTTTCTACGATTAATTTCAATGTCAAAATAAAGTTTGAGTTGATTTTTTAGGTAGTTTCAAAATGTTTTATTATATCAGACATTTGAAACATCTCTCAACGAAAACAAAGTTGTAGATCCATCCAAAAATGTAACCAAATATTATTTGTCTCATAGTCCACCTTTCTAGAAAAGTATCAATGAAATTCATTCAAGAATATCTGGAGATTTTATGTGGACAGTTTTATGCAATGAGAGACATGACCCAAATCCAACATTTTATCAGAGGGAAAAATAAGACACATATATACATACTATAAATACATTTATATACATATTCTATATAATGTTGACAGCGGAAAAGAGAGGGTTTCTCTTTATCTTTTACTTAATCAACTTTTAACTTGGAACATGTACATGGATATATACCGGGTGGAACAGCAAGATTGTGAAAATCGTGTAAAAGCAAAATTGTCCATTTGTTAGATTAAGCTCTGAAGCGTTGTAGCCTAGAATTGATGAAGATATCTAACTAGAATTCTCCGATGTTTTTATCACACTATTGAACACTACTTTGAGCAGTAAGAACGTATATTTACTCTCTAAGCTTAACAGAAAAATCGTGATGAAATCGATCATAAACGAAAATGACATATTCAGCATTAATTAATTGTAGCTAAGGATCGGAAGCTCATGAAGGATTGAAATAAAGTTCAAATATATATATATATATATATATATATATATATATATATATATATATATATATATTATTTCAGGATAATTTTCCAACTTATTCAAGATGATCTTTGCCCTCTCTAACCTTGTAACTTTCTGTCTTAGAGTAACAAGTTGCCTCACAGGTTTCACGTACGAATTCATTTTCAAGTTTTTTGCACTGATCTTTGGACTGTAATAGCTGAAACTCCTCTCTCACGTGCCAAATGTCTTATGGAATGAGTTGGATCTTTTCTAACTGATCTCTTTAGCTATAAATTGAAATGATGATCGCTCTTGCTGTTGTGACCTCCTGATCCCGTTTTCCCTTCTACTGTTCCCTCTTTTTTGAACATGATGGTTATTGAATGGACTTTGAAGATGAAAGCCAGAGTATGAATTTTGGTACCAATGCTGAAGGACTGAATGATCTTTTTCCTTTCACCATTACTCAGACATAGAAAGATTTTAACCAATTCTCTTTCTAGCTGAATAAGTTTTCTTCAGTGATGTTTACGACAAATGGTGTCAAGATGGTTAAACATCTTATCTGGAAACCTGGAAAAAGAAATTCAATTCGTTTAGTGTTTTTTTTTTTTTTTTTTAGATATTAAACATTTTGTGGGATGGACAATTATGCTGTTACACAATTTGGACAATTTTGCTGTCAAACACGGTATAGTAATAAAAAAATAGCCGGTTCCTCGTTTCTAATCACACCTGTCTGCTTGGACAGCTAGCAAATCCCTGTTGCAAAAGCAAGTTCAGGGACATTTGTAGTTGTTCAACACCCACAGAGGCCATCTATGTTTTATACTAAAATCATGTTGAGAGGACGTTAGTTACAGTTTTGGGGAGAGAGATCATAATCTAGCAAGAACAATTTTGAACGAAGCCAGTACGCTCAAAACTTCCATCACGATGACTTGGAACTTTGGTGATAGCCCAACCATCTACGGCCCCCAAATAATCCTATCTACTCAAATCCAATGACGAGAGGTCTTAACGGTTCACCCTGTTTGTGTGCATGGTGTTTTCAGGGCGTTCGTAATAAGATTTCTTGTTACTTTCAATCCTGAAATTGTGACACTATTAGAAAAACGCTAGTAAATTGAAAAAAAAAACAAACTTGAAAACAAAATAAAACAAATTTCCGACAGACTGAAGATATACCGATGACCAGAAAAAGGAAAATGAAAGAAAAGGATATATGTTTTTAATTGAGAAAAAAAACACTAGAAGAACGTAATTAAATTTCTTGTCCGCCAGAGAGGTAAGACAAAGAGACCATTTGGTTTCAGTTAGAACTGAGAGGTCCAAGGACCTCCCGGAAAGAAATAGATAATATCTTTACGACCATTGAGTGACAGAGAGGAAGACGGAACTCTAGCCGCCAGTTTGGTCGATTGATAAGGATTAAGTTTTAAAAGCAGACGGGTTCCCGGAAGGACATATATAAAGAATGACTTTTAAATTTTTCATCTGTCGAAACGCGATAAAACTTCCTAAATCAAGGGATTGTTCCCCTTCTTTGTCACTTTTTGGCCAAAGCGTTGACAAGGAGATAAAAAAATAACAAATCCCAGATGCGAAAACGACCACACACAAAATCACGACAAGAAAGAATTTTGAACGATAATTAAATTTTGGCCATTTTGGCCATTTCGGCCAGATCACGCTTAGGCCTTCGGGTCGGGTTTGATCAGGTGACCAAGAAGTAGAGAGCCCAGGTGGAATTTCAGGGAAGGCGGAGGATTTTCAACGCCCCTCGAGCAGTGATGGTGAGAGGCACTCACACAAAGCAGGAAGGAGACGGGGTGACCAAAAGAATAAGGCTCAGGTAGATTTCCAAGGAGAGAGGAGGGACTCCGCCATATTTAGACATTTGCACGGAGAGCCCTGATTGGTTGTTTGGGAAACGCTAACATTTCCAGAGTACATCATGCCCCACCCAGCCCTTGCGCAAGGGTCCATAAAAACAGAACGCTGAGAGGCACGGCAGGTAGACGGCAGAGAGACTATAGCAGAGACACGGCAGAAAGAAACTGCGGAGACGATACTGAACTGAGAGATGAGCACCACCGTTTCATTTGATCCCATGTGATTTTCCGCCTTGAATAAAAGGCCTCCGACTTAAAGACTTATTCTAGAAGTCTCGTTCCAAAATCATGACAACAAAGTGTCACGATAATCGGGAAGAGTCTATAGTTATTGCATAGGGATTATAGGCCTGCTTAAGCCATCAACAACTGCACCATCAACCTTGTATCAAGGAATTGCATATAAATATTTCTTTTTCTTTTATTCAAATTTTTTTTTTCTTTTTTCCTATGACTTTACTCTGACCGGACCAAACCAAGTCATCGATTCTAGTCGGCCATTCGGACTAAGACAGTCGTGCGATCAAACACGAGACAGGGTTTGGGCCGAATCGATCAACTCGACGATCAACTGAGGTGATCGAACTTGAATACGGAGCTGCCGGGCTAGACGTCATACAGTTTCCAAATTATACCTGAATTATTTGAAATAATACAAGAATAGGAAACTGTTTGCACAGAACTTAGCATAGAACCAGCCATTTCAATGTAAAATGATGAGATCTTGTCGCCAATCTCGTACTGTGCTTAAATTCATAGAGTCTTGGTACCATAGAGGAAATTTTATCAGAACAATTTCAATGGAAATATTTACAAAAACGGTACAGGGAAGCGATATGAAATTGGCTGAAGATGATAATGCTACTAAGACGTAAGGATTTAATGAGAGAGAAAGAGAATGAGAAGACTTTTGTAAGTAGAATGTTTTGTATTTCTTTAAGACATGGGCTACCAGGAATCCCTTCAGTGAGTCTATCGTCGCCTTGTCCAATCAATCAGATGGCTCCAACTACAACTGGAATTCAAGATCCTTGTATTTTGAAGATCTTCAAAAATACATTACAATCTCCAGGGACTGCAACGTCAATAACAAAACACATTCAGTTCTTGTGGTCTTCGATCACGATGTTTAGGCGAATAGCTTTGTTTGTTCTGTCTGTGCGTCTTGTGGAAAATACCAACTGGTATCGATACTCTCGTCTTTTTTGGGGATGTTATACCCCAACAATATTATTAAAATGTGTGGACTGAAAAGTGTATAGAATTGGTACGTTTGGCCTAAAATAAAATTCGAAAAGACTTTACAATAATAAAGGCCGTAGGCATTTTTGTGGAAACATTCCTGAAGGCAAGAAACTGATCGCTGAAAAATTATTTATCACCATCCTCTATCATATTAATTTTCTATGTAGATAGGCATACAAAGTTTATATATGTAGATACTTTGGGAAAGCAAGACATATTCGGTGTTAAAGCAACAGAAAATTAACTTTAGCTAAATTCGTTACGCTACAATACAATTCTTTATTAGAATTAGTGGTTCAAAGAATTTTAGCTTCGGCTTTTTAGTGTCACAGAACATCAGCATCTCAACAATTATCTTTCAGATACGAATTCAGGGACCTAATTTACAATCAACTTCAATAGGCTTATATATTTATCCGATTTACCGTATTTTATATATTATGTATAAAACTTATACGAAAGTTGTGAAAAGTTCTCAACCCAACCAGTTTTCTGAAGACTGACCAAAGAAGCACACATCAGAAAAGATGAGCGGATGAATTCTAGACACAACTCGTATATATACATATATATATATGTTTGTATGACTGCATATGCGCACGAACGAGGGTTACTAGGGATTTTAGGGTGTGATATATATATATATATATATATATATATATATATAGGAATTTTGAAGTGCGTATTGCCAGACATGAGCAAGTGGCAACACTGCGAGACTTTGACCTTGAGCAAGTAAACATTTCGCCATTTAGAATTCAAGATGAAATTCGCAGTATCTCAGCTGAGATGTTGCAACAGTCAGTGAGGAATCTCAACAGCAGATTTCAATAATGCATTCGTACAGGAGGACGCCATCTACAGGACGTAATTTTTAAAAAAATGAAAATTCCATCATTGTTTCTTAAATGGCTTGTTTTAAGGTTTCAATTACTATGAATAAAATATTTTTTTACATCACTCTTGGTTTTATTGGATTGTTAAAAGTTCCCGTTTTTTGGGGTCACCCTGTATATATATATATATATATATATATATATATATATAATTGGGGTTGAATGGTGAGGTTTCGCATCGATGAATTTACATTTTATGATTATATGTCATCCTGAATTCTTATCATCTTGTTTGAACCGACACTTGACTGCAGCTTGAAATGCTACTCGAAAATACTGTCATTGAGCCAAAGAATACTTAGATACTACAAAAAGGTACAAAGTTAGAAATTTTATTGAAAAATGAAAAAGAACCCCTTTTTCAAGAGAAGAATTGATGCAAGGAAAAAAACTTCAGAAGGAGACTTGTGTCATTTTTATAAAGAAAGAATATTTTTATTTAACTGTAGAACAATCTTCTTGTATGCGTCGTGTCTTGGGCGGTCATTGCTCTCTCCAATTTCCTGTCTTTTGTAGCTCTTAGCAATGCCTTTTCTCGCTCACTGATCTGTCAACCATTTACATAAGTTTGAAAGATAAGTTACAAACTGTTACCTTCTGTACCTGTTACCTTCAACATATCCTGTGTCAGAATCTCCAAGAACCTCTTTGCTCCATGTGAGTCCTCCAAATTTAAAGTTCCTCTTTTTTGCCTAAGAAAAGTGTTCTTTATGTTTCTATTTTTCTTAACATTTCTTCGTTGCTCACGTTGTGCCCATAGTATTATCAGCATCCTTCTGTAGAACCACATCTCTGTTGTCTCACGTCTCCTCTTCATCTATGATGAAATGCACAGCATTAACTGCCATATAGAAGGATTGGTATTATATTGCCATTCAGCAGTCTTTTTTGTTTCAGTTATCTCAACTCTCTTCTTCATCTGCGAGGAATTGCACAGCATTCACTGCCATATAGGCGGATTGATATTAAATAGCAGTTCAGCACTCTTTTTGTTTGTTTGTTTCCAGTGAAATTTTTCTATCTCTTAACAAATTTACTATTTTACTGCACGGCGCAGTAATGCATAGCGGCTCGGATTGAGAAATCGAAGAGCCGAGTTCGAGTTCCAGTCAAATCCATTACATTCACTTACGTGCTAATACCCTTGGGAAAGGTATGAATCCTCTTCTTCTCTCCCAGCTATGAGTAAATAGCTGGACAAACCGGGTTCTGTAGTCCTGGATGGCAACTGGTCTACCGCAGACAGAAATGGTAACCTACTGCGGGAAAAATCTGCCTCGTCAGTCAGGTATCGAATGATATACGATCGCTTAAGCATGGCACATAACTGACTGATTTTATTGTCCTTTCCAGTGTAGGCATCTTTTCGCTATCTCAAAGCGCGTTTGAATTACTATAGCACATTTTCCATCGTCTGATAACAATAGTTTAATCTAAAGAAGTCTAATAAAAGATGGAATCGTTTAATATTTCTGCAACACCTGCGCCAAGCTTATTAAAACTTATCTGATATTTTGCTAAGCAACATGTAAATCGATTGTACAACAAACTTTGTATTAAAAATAAAACACTTTGTCCCTTGACAGAAGTAAAAGATTCCGATTGATAAATATCACCATTAAAAAGATGTAATCTATTCAATCCTTGACTCTACACATACAAACCAAATCTAGTGTTCCTACAAGGTCCCCTTTCAACACGAGCGGTTTAATTTCTTACGATAGATACATAAATAAAATTAAATTAAAAAGCACGCCATAACATGAATCGTATAAATTATTTACTAACCTGATGTTTACCTATTTACTTGACAAGGGTATCAGATGACATATGGTCAGTTTAATATGTGGTATTGTTACATCTTCAGAAATAAATAAAAACGAAGCAATTTTATGTCAGAATTGGCCGTCTAAAGTAATTTAAACCAAACAATTATTTTAAATTTGCATTAAAAAACAAAAGGAAAAGAAAAAAAATGAAATAAATTTCCATTAAATGGAAAAAGAAAAAATAACATTGACAATAATAAAGCTACCTCGACCTTAATATTTGGTTGTACGCCCTTTTGGCACTGATGACTGCCTTCAAGCACTTCTGATAGCCATCTAGAAGATTCTTGCTATTTTCAGTCGGTATTTTCTCTAATTCTTCATTTGCATTTGTTAAAGCTCTTGAACATTTTCAGCATTCCATACCTCAATGGTAAATTTCAGCTAATTCCATACATTTTCATTGGAAATGAGATTAGGACTTGTTCCTGGACAGTTTAAAACAGTCCATTTCTCCCTTTTTAATTATCCCTCTGTCCTTTTAGATGTGTGCCTTGGGTTATTATCTAGCTGGAAAACCCAAATTATTATATTACAATTGGTAGTACATTTTCCTTTGGGATGCTCTTGATTGCTGATTGTATTAAAGAGGAAAAAATGAATTCTAGACAGACGAAATTCTCGACACAATGAAAAAGAGATAAAAACAATGCCAAGACACGAAACAGAATATAGGACACTACGCAAAGAAATATGGAACAAATGCAAACAGGCTAAAGAGGAATGACTCAACGAAAAAATGTTCAGAAATAGAAAGATGAGTATCACAGATAAAAGAGATATGCATTAAAAAAATAACAGAAATAACAGAAAAAAAAGGCATGCTCATCAACAAAATGCATAAGATCCAAGGACGGGTAACTGATATAAGAAAAAGAATAAACAATTAAGAAATGGGAGGAATATATCGGAGAACACTTCCACGATCAAAGAGAACAAAACACAGAAATAGCGACCGGCCGGAAATACTAAAATCTGAAGTGAAATCTGCACAGACCAAATTGAACATAAACAAAGCGGCAGGGCCAGGCGGAATTGTAATAGAGATGTTGTTAGCTTTAGATGACTTCAGCATAGACAACATTACAGAAATAATAAATGAAAATATACAACAACGGTCTAAGTCGATCTATTTTTATATCACTACCTAAAAAGCCAGGTGCAAACGAATGTGAACTCCATTGGACAATCAGCCTAATGAGCCAAATAACAAATCTTATTCTGATGAATAAAGCGCACAGCAGAATCAG